ATTTAGTCAGTTCAAATCATTAGCCTCTGATTTCCAGGGTTAATGGATTTTCGTTCTTTTCAATTGAGTAGACATGGTCTGCTATTTAAGAACAGTCGGCGACCATCATACATTATATCTCAAAGTGCTAGAATATATAATTATATTGAACATTAAAGTTGACAATTTTCAGAAAAAATATATTGTTTGAAGTTTATAGTTGTGATGTTAATTAATCTATGAAATTGTAGCCAATGACTGCCAATAACCCTTAAATAGTTTTGTCTTTCTGATCATCCAGGATAACTAGTTATTTGGGTAAACATCCATTCCCGCTTTTTCATCTCGATTAGTCGAACGTAAAACAAACGGCAGTATCTGTTATACTGGTTTGTTATAAATAGAAGCCTTTTTATCATAATTCCTATATGTTTTAAACAGTTTGCTTAAGAAAAATTAAGAGAGTCTTAATTATCATACAGGTTATTTCAGCAACACATAATGAAAAAAGAGATGCTGGATATATGGTAATGAAGCAGCACCTGAATATCACATGAAAACAACCCATATTGTTTAAAACATTACAAAAACACATATCGAGAGTACTGTAATCCGTTTTTTCGAGGCCTTTTGAAAGGTCTTTATGCACTGTGGACTGACTCTTAATTCAAATTCACTGAAATATACAATCAACTAACTTATAAGTTGATTTAATATTCAAAGTAAGACCTCAGCATTGTAAGATTGTTTCTTACACTTATAACACAGTTATTTCCCTTTTGTTGCATACGTATCTCTCTTTTTTAGCTTTTAATTGGTATATTTCCTGCTATCAATGCTCATTATCTTAGAGCCGAAATTTTTTTGTCACCCCCTCCCCCCTTTCGCTCATTCAAATAACAAGAATGAATAGCGTTTGCTCAAAATATTTCATGCTAAGTATGACCCCCTATTAAACAAAATCCCCATTTTGTCTTCAAAATTCGAAGACGGCTCACCCTACGATGGATTGTAATCAAAAGTAAGTTTTAAACGAGTTGCAACCAATCTACATTCAGAACTCTTTTTTTTTGACATGCATGTATTAAAATACTAAGGGACAAACGTTTGTACAGACTTAAAATTCAGAGGTACGCTAAGAATAATATATTCAAAGTAAACCTCGAAACAATAACGCAACACAGGTTTGCTTGGTCTTAAGGACATTTAACCTTATTTTTTTAAGAAAGTAATTTCATTTATCATGTGAAAATTAATCAGAATGTTATTGAATCAGTCAGAGCTTATGCATTTGCTATTGGCGGATAATGTTAAAAATAGTACTAAAACTCCACCGTCAGTTTTAAATATATCGCTTTTCTCTATTAAAAAAATCACAGATTAGCTGGCAAAATTGACACAATTAATTTGTGTTTTTCGTTATCATAATGTGTCCAAATGCATGTTAAAATGCTTTGCATTTATATGGATTGACAAATACTTTTGAAAAAAATCCTCTTCTTTACATTAAAAACATATGTCATGTACTATTCATTTATAATTTTAAAATTCTTTTAAATAATTTTATCAAATTACTTGAATATTATGCCACGTGTGTATTAACTTTCGTCATTATATTTAGCCTACTTGTACTATTTTAGGATATAGAAATTTATCAGTTTGCTTAAGCTTGTTAAAGATGCCAATTATTTCATCTTATTATCATGCAAACAGACGAGAAACAAATTCAAAAGTAAATTAACAAAAATACCGAACTCCCTTTATAAAATGGCAAAATCAAAAGCTCAAACACATCAAAGGAATAGAAAACAACTGTCATATTCCTGACTTGGTACAGGCATTTCCTAATGTGAATGGAAAACAACTGTCATATTCCTGACTTGGTACATGCATTTCCTAATGTGAATGGAAAACAACTGTCATATTCCTGACTTGGTACATGCATTTCCTAATATGAATGGAAAACAACTGTCATATTCCTGACTTGGTACATGCATTTCCTAATGTGAATGGAAAACAACTGTCATATTCCTGTCTTGGTACATGCATTTCCTAATGTAGAAAATGGTGGATTAAACCTGGTTTTATAGCTAGATAAACCTCTCACTTGTATGACAGTCGCACAAAGTTCCATTATATTGACAACAATGTGTGAGCAAAACAAACAGACATAATAGGTCAACATGTCAAAAATTGGGGTACAGCAGTCAACAGATTAATATAACATTAATCTCTATAAAAACTAATAACTATTTCAACAAAGAAAAAAATGGCATATAGACACTCTATAGACAAAGTACATAAGCAAAAGTGAAAGACAAGAATACAAAATTCACCATAGCACAATAATACAAAACTAGAATGAATAGTGTGGACTGATATCTGTTGATTTTTCTAATCCTTTCGATTCTTTACTTTTAACCCGGGACTTTTAAAGTCATTGTTCCAAATTTGCGGAACAATTGTAAACAGTTTGTCTGAATCTTTTGTAAAAATTGTACTTTAGATTTCAAGGCAAGATAAATATATGTTTTAAAAAAGGAGGTATTAATAATTTATGACATCTTTTGTATTTATAAGTTTTGTTATGCGATATTCAATCTTTATTGTGATTTCACGATACAATCTTATATAAAGAGCTATTGATTTGAGTTCTTTGAAAATGTCTAACAATGATTTAATAATTCATCATTTCTTTTTGTTAAATCGGTCGTACTAATAATTCCATTTGTATTTACTTCAGCTCAATAATTTATTCAGTCCGCTCAGGAACATATTGTTTGAATATTGCTTAAAAACATGTAGGCGACAAATGCATGTTTTTCCCATGAGCGTTGTCATGAAATTTAGTTCTAAATAAAATACTTTTAGCCAAGCATTAAGATAGTGTATAGTTTCAAGATTGATAATCAAATAAAAAATAAGGAAAAACATGGGTGTAATTTTATATCTTTTTTGGGTAATCAAACACGCATTAATGCAACTTGCATCTCCGTTTACTAAAATAAAGGCGATTGTTTGTACATAGCAGCATATTTCATTTTAGTTTCATATAATTTTACATAGGCTTTTCAAACATGTTCAAATTAAAAAAATAAAGCTTGAAATTTGGGGTCTACAGTTTTTAAATGGTAAATAAATAAATAAAAAGGGACGCTGTGGGCATTGTATATATCAAAATTAACATACACACATAATACTGACTATGAATAACGGTTTTAATGATAGCTCTTTAAGTTTAATTTGAGGTTGTAATAGTGACATTCGAGATAAAGAAAATCTTAATTTTTTTTATAGTATAATGATATAAATAAAATAAACATTTTATAGACTTCGTACGTCCGAAGCGCTTTTGTGAATTAACCTTCATCGGGAACCCTCAAATTGAAACATTTGAAAGCCAGGAATGCGTAAATACGCAGCAACTTTAGGAGCTATAGGACCAAAAAGGATCTAAACATTATAGCCAAATTCATCTAAGGCCGGGTAATATCAAGTAAGTACAGATCAGTATGGAAGCACTGACTACTGAGCTGATGATACCGTCATGGATTACCAGTCCACCAGTAGTGGTATTGGAAAAAAAGTAAATAACAAAAATACCAAACTCCAAGGAAAATACAAAACGGAAAGTCCCTTATCAAATGGCAAAATCAAAAGCCCAAACACATAAAACGAATGGAAAACAACTGTCATATTCCTGACTTGGTACAGGCATTTCCTTATGTAGAAAATGGTGGCCCAGTGTATCGCAAATTACAAAGGATAAGACTTAGCTGTTCTTTTGTAAATTTGAAATTGTTTTAATAGTGTCAAAACTATGTAACTACCGTATAAATATCTGGCAGTGATAAATTGACAGTAGATGTAAGTATGGAAATATGCGACATTGTTTTTATATCAAAAGGCTGAGTGTGCGTTCGAGCATAAGCGTGATACTGTATACATGTGTATTTGTATGTGTCTCTTTTTTGCATTTTTACGATACATGATTGTTTTTGTCTTGTTTTTATATTTCTATATTTTGTTAAATATAACAACTAGTAGTCGTTGGTTTGATGGCAATACTCATAAACATCTTTAACGTTAATATATTTGTAAATGCCCAGACATATACCTAACAAGTAATTTTCTAAAGCAGGGAAATGATAAAGATTTTTAAATGATGACAGCATTATACAATCAAATTTTTAAATTGACGAACTTTTATACCAGTGCATTTACTGCACATTCACGCTTAAAAATGCATACAAGTTATGAATTAGAGTCCGAAATGTGACTAAAAGAGTTTCATGTATAGGTTTATTTAAAAGTTTTTGGTTCTTTTACCTTTTACCTTTTATTTTTAGGAAACTTATATACTTTATTGTACAATATTACTGTTAACAATATACTTAGTGTATAGCATTCCGCGTCTAAGATGTGTTAGTTGTTTTGGCAGTGGTAGTAATATAAAAAAATAATTCAAACAATCGAACAGGCCAACAAGACTTGGATGCTCAGTTTTGAAAATCAAAACAAAAATCAAACGATAAAATATAACTAGAAAAATAAAATAAACTCCCACAAAAATTAATTATATCTAGTGAAAATTATTTATAACTTTCGATACACATAAGAAACTTGTAAAGTCTTTGTTATATTTAGTATAAAGAAACATATGAAAGTATTAACAATTTCATTTTGTTGTGATAAAGTAAATAGTTTTGAACGATTATTTGACTTTCACAAAGCAATAACATCGTTTTTTACTCAAATAGAAGTTCAAAACAAAAGATACCCGCTATTTTTGTATTTTTGTTTGATTTTCTTAGAAAACTGACCCATCCGTAATACCTGAATCAATATGCGTGAACCTATAATCTTTTATGTCCGCCCTGCGTGGGACTATTCACGACGTTGCAATTATCTTGTATATTTTACCATTTTTGGATTAAATAAACAACACAGAACAAACGGATTGTAAAAATAACAATAATTGGTCGCTGCATCATTTTATCGATATTGATAAAAGTTCTTTTCAACGCCCATGCAATTGTAACCAATATAAAGTGAGACGGACTTTCATTTAGCAAAAAGTCTCGGAACACAAAGCGCAAAGATTTACACAACAGTTCGGTTTCTCATAAAACAGAAAAAGGCAAGGAGCAAAATATATCTGACTACTGGAGACTTAAACAACTGCAGCTGAATTATTCTTTCTTCCGTTATGCAAATTAATATTAAAATGTATATATTTCTTTCTTCGTTTGCCGTTACGTTATGTACAGTGACTGATGCTTGGTTAACTAAATATGATTTTAATGGTGATTATAGTGACCATAAATGGAATAGCCAGGTGAGTCCTCCGGTAAGTACATTTCTTATTCTTATTTTCATTATCATTGATACAGTTGTCTTGAATCGCATTTTGACTGAATTTTTTAATTTAATTTTTTGTTGTCCTGATGTAGTTTTGTCTAGCGTTTTGACTGAATCTGTTAATTTTCATTTTTTTTGTGTCCATTTCTCTCTAAAAAAAGAAATTTAATCGCAAATTTTTTTTTGAAAAGACTGGATACAAGTTTTCTATACAAAATAACAAACAATACAAAAACCAATGGAAAACACTTAACGTATTGAGCTTTTAAAAGCTTGTTATTTCAATCCTTTTATATCAATATATTAAGCTTCATGTCCTTTGATCATAATCCAGATGACACTTATAGAATGTTTTTATTTCATTTTGCATGTCTTGATTTAGCTTCATCAGATCCACCAGAAATGTATAAATACACGGCGTTCTATATACTGCAAATTAACAAATTTTCTTGAGCGATTTATTTTCGCGGCTATCTCGAGTAGAAAAATAACGAGCATACATAATTCGTCGCAAAAATGTCAAACGTAAAACGTCTCTTTTTTTAATTTGTCGACAGACGTTAAAGATCGCGAAAACAAATCGAAACTGAGTCAACTTGAAAGAGCTATCATGTGTCTGAATACATAAATAATGAATGAATACAAAAGGATTTCTTACATTCTGGAGAAGAAAAAAAAACGTTTGGCAGGATCTGCTTAACCTTTCTGAGCTCTTGAGATTTCCTCCTAGTTTTTGATGGGGTTCGAGCAGCTCAGTCTTTAATTTACTATGTTTTGTTTTATTTACTGTTGTTTTTCTTTTTACATTCTTTTTGCCACAACTTTATCAGTTTGTTTTCGACTAATGAGTTTTAATTTACCTTTGGTATCGTTCGCCTCTCTTTTACCTGAACATCATTTCTTTGTTAATTATCTGAATTAAAGAAATTCGAGTTTCAGTTTCGATACAAACTAGATGTCCTGATGCCACATATTTTGTATGCACAGTAAAGGAATTGAAACAACAACACATTATTTACATTTTGGTGAATTTAAATGCATCATACGTTTAGCAGAAAAAAATTCATATTGGCATTTTAGATCGGGAAGCAGAGACACATGACAAAACATTTTTAAAAATGTGTCATATAATTTTGCAGTTCTGTGGAAATAGAAAATTAAATCAAAATTACCACTATCGACATGGAGTTATCCCTTGCTTGCTTGCTTGCTTGAATTTCTTCATATACGTTTCCATAAACGAAAAGATTGCACTAGAAAAGGTGGCAACAAGAGAGTACTCATGAAACATTGATTTATTTTTATTTCTTAATGAAACAGAATCGCAACATTTGAGTTAAAATTGACGAATACCGTCGATTAGTTTATTATACAATAATTATCGTCCATTGTATACTAGCTTTTTGAAAATGTATTTTGTCGCAGTTTTATAATATTTTCTTTACAATCCATCTTGAAAATGCGAATGATACTTTAAATATTTAATAAATGTAAACTTTCAGTGACTATCAACTATTATTTCATATCGGTTAAGAATTAGATTCTCTTATTGGATAACAAGGGGCCACATGACATTCTTTATTCTTCAGTAATAATTTCTATCTGTCTTTAACAGAAAAAAAACGGACCGGAAAACCGGTCGTTAACAGGCTTTTACATGTTAATGGCCGGTGAGGTGTGGTTTCTCTGTTTAGAGAGATGTCCCTGTAATAAAACATTTTCCTGATTTTAATTTTATATTGAAGTTGTTGAATTGTTTACCATATGTTTTTTTAATTATAAAATTATAGAAAACTTTATTTTGTGTTCATATACTGAAAAATTTTATTTAAATGAATGGTAGTGACTTATAGCAAGGATTTGTATTTTGTTTTGAACTATGAGAATTTTTAAAAACATGGTTCCTTAATGAAATAAACATAATATTTATTGAAGAACTGGTCATAATCGTGATACATGGACTGCCCGTAGGACAGTGGTATTGACTGCGACTGCGATAATGACCTCGCCTATGGCTCAGTCATTATCGCTGTTTTAGTCAATACCACTGTCCTTTGGACAGTCCATATATCACGATAATGACCGGTTTTTCAATATCTATTATGTAAATATTTTTCCAGTTCTCTTTAACCAACTACATGCAATGAGAATCATGATAAAATTATGCCTGAAAATCCTCAATTTCGTTTTAAGAATAGGGGTTACACGGTAGGAAAGGTTGATAACAAAAAAAGGTTCCATTTTTAAAATCTTTCCTAAAAGAGGAAAGTTTTCTTCAAAAAATTCCATAATGAGATAAAACGCGACTTCAATATATCAAAAAATCTTAATGTAAGTATATATGAATACATAAAAAATCCAATTACTTTTTGCCACCATTTAATTTCGCTGTATTCAGTGTTTAAGCTGGTTCCGTTTCTTATATTCCAAGGAAACACAAAGTTAGATATTTGTTATTGTTTTTGGGCAATAACTCTGTGATTGTCCTTCTGGTGACTTATTGTCGTTTTCATGATATAACATATCCCCACACATGTATACGGTGTTGGTTTGCTCAATATGGTGACCTGCAGTTGTTTACAGTATTGTATTTGGTAGGTTGTTGTCTCATTGGTAATCATACCACATTTTCTCATTTGTATGTGGTATTTGTATATACCTTTTTTAGTTCGTCAATTTGAGATATATTTCTTTCAATTAAGCCAGTTCGTCAGTGTAAAACACGTTTCGTATATATATATATATAAGCCAGTTCGTCAATGTGGAATATGTTTCTTATTTATAAGCTATTTCGTCTATGTGTAGCGCGAGATAATGTTTCTTAATATACGTAAGCTAGTCCGTCAATCTGAGATATAATATTTCTTTTATATAAGCGAATCATAAACCAGTTCGTTAGTTTAAAACATGTTTCCTATATAGAAACCAGTTCGTCAATGTGGAACATTGTTTCATATATATGTTGTGTACAAATTGTAATGTTGTACAAACTATAATTTGTACAGTATTTTTGTACAAGTTATCAGTATTTTGTAAATCTCTTTACATAATTAGATAAAATAAGCATAGTGTCTTTGGTTAAGCTTATCACAGTTTTATTTCCACAACTACATGCTACAGTCTTGCACATAGTATGACACAAAGTTTATATAAAAACACTAAAAGATATTTTATGGACATAGAATTTGGTATTAGTCAAAAAATAAAAATAAAATCTAAACCAATCAGGTGTCCTTATTTGTAGTTTTATGACATAGAGGACAGTGCTTAATGTTAGGTTGAAGTATATAAATTTGTAAGTAAAACATCGAACTGGATAATTATTGAAGATAAACTTGTATCACCTGGTGAAAGATGGTGTGTGTCAAAATACTGATTACTTGTACAAAAACCCTGTACAAATTATAATTTGTACGAAATGACAACTTGTACACAACATATATAAGCCAGTCCTTCACAGTGTAGCGTGAAATAATGTTACTTATTATACGTAAGCTTGTCCGTCAATCTGAAATATATTTCCTATATATAAGCCAGAGTATCTGCAGATATATTCCGTTAATTTGTGATATTATACGAGTATATAAAATGTTCTTCATATAATTATTTTGTAAACTGCTGGCATGTAAAAATTTAATTGACAGCACTTAAGACTGATGTGTTGACCGGTTTGTCTAAAATCTCGACATACCAATTTAATGCCCGATGAGAATGGCATGGCTGATCATATTTTAATACACATGTAGCCTAAACATGTAAAGTATTATAGTCCCCAGGAATTTCGACATCACACGTTTTGATTTTTATTTCATACGTCAATCTCATTGTGTTTCCTTTACTTTTTATTAAGTTTTCATAACTATGGCTTATAAATTGGGAACATTTTACATTCCGTAAGTGACTGTGCCACGTCATGAGTCTGTGAATCAATGGTTGTCGTTTGTTGTTGTGTTTTGAATTTGTTTATTCGTCTATTGCTTTTATTTCATATAAATAAGATCCTTAGTTTTCTCGTTTGAAATGTTTAACTTTTGTTATGTTTGTGTTTTATATGCGATATAAGTTTTGCTCATAATTGAAGGCCGTGCGGTGACATATAGTTGCCAACATCTACGTCATGTGTTCCCTGATGGAAAGATGACTCATTGTCAATTGTGCCATATCCTCTTATTTTTATAAAACAATGCAAAAAAAAGGCAACACGACTCACAACAATCTGCAAATATTACAATGGAAACATATTGATCGAAAGAAACGAACATTGATGAACCCAGCTGTTTTATAAGGGTAAACAGTTCATGCTACAGTTTTGGTAATGACAGATAACATTAGCGGTACCAATATTTATGCACCAGCGACTCTTTTCACAAAAAATCTTACGATTAAAATTGATCGTAAGTTATACTGAAATGTGTATGACTTACGAGTATTTTTACTCTTAAGATTTTTTGTGAAAAGAGCCGCTGATGCTCAAATATAATATTTTGTTTTTAAACAGTCATATTTGTCATGAAATTTAAAGTATTATTACTGTATTATTATTGTAGAAACTAATATTTAAATATATACCAAGAGAGGTTACCACAAGGGTTGACTGCGGTATATAATTATTGTCATCTTGACTTTTCGCAACCGGCAGAAGAACTCATTCCTTTTGATTGTACGGTCGGAATAAACACTTTAAATCTGCAACAACTACTTTTAAGAGGTCAGCGAGGCCTGTTGCAAGGCAGAATTGCTGATCATATCTAGAATATCCTCCCTTTCCAGTTACAGTCTAAATTTTCGAACTCTATTCCGGCCAACCCCCTTTACAGAAATATTGGATTTATTCATAATTTATTCTATGTCCTGAATATGCCAGAACTAGTTGTACTGGAAGTTCAGCAAGCAGCTATTAATCAATTTATTGATATATCAATCTTTTGATGAGTAAAAAAGTGGGGGCAAAAATAATCAGACGCCTTGTAATCGAATAAAATATTGGTT